GGTGCAGAGGCTGGAGGGTGATGCCTGGGACATGAGATGCTGGAGACAAGGCAGGGCCAGAGCAGCTCCTCTCCTTGCCCAGCTTCAGTGGGGGAGAATTTTGCTCCCAGTTTTAAACTAAACCCCTAACTGGTTCCTGCAAGCCGATTTCCAGCTTGGTCCAGCCCGTAGCAGAGGCAAAATGCTGCTGGTATGGAAGGGATTGCTGCAAAATCCAGAGGTGTCTGGGAATTGTTGAGTTAGAATGGGGAGAGAAAAGACACCTAGGGATGCTCAGTGGTGGGTCGGTGTCGTGGCACAACACGGGAGAAACTCCGTCAGGTGGGCTGGATGTGGGAAAGTGCTTTCTCCAGGGTGGGCATGCAGTGAAAATTAGGCGGTGATGGAAGGAGAATTGAGCCGGAGGGGGGGGGGGGGGGGGTTGGGGGGAATCAGCTTGGTCACGGCCCCAAGTTGGGCCACCAGATTTGCTGGGGTGATCTAGTCTTAGCCCCGTCCCTGCCTCCCTGTGATGGAGCTTGTACCCTGATAATTGCCATGAAAGCAGCAATCAGGTTGGTAATTTCGCCGAGCTCTTTTCAGTTCTAATTAACATTATTCATTTCTTGTGTGTCCTGCTGGGTTGAGACAATCTGTGCTCTCCAGCCCAGCCCTCTGGAACACCAGCGAGCTGCGTAAGAGGCAACAAAAAAAAGTGTTGTGTGCCAATTACCACACTTCAGTAATTAAAAACCTCCTTCCCCCCACTGCCGGGCCACCTCCTCTCCCGTCATTTTCTGTGTGCAAACTCGCGAAAACAAAGAGACAAATTCAGGAGGGCATGTCATTGCTGGCATGTGCCATCTGTGTCTGCGCCAAAAATGCAGGGAGGTACCGGGGGCTGTGTGACGCGCGGGGGGGATCAGTGGTCAGGACGCTCAGCTTTGACACCCTGCTGCTTATTTATTCCTGATATTTGGTTGTGGCGGCTGCGGTTTGGTCGAGGGCTCTTTGGGAGCAGGGTTGTGCCTGCAAAGCAGCCTGCTCCCCTCGGGCCAGGGTTGTTTTGTCCCCACCGAGGGTTTTGTTGGCGTTTTCAGCCCCGCTCATCTTTGTACTTGTGTTGCTTAAGGCGGCAGAAACCTTACGGCGTTGCTTTTCCTCTTCCAATTTCTGCCTTCTGATGTCCCTGCGGCCAGGCGGGCTGTTGGCTGCGCCCACGGGCCCCTTGCACGGGGTGCAGAGGGTACAGGCGCGAGGGGTTTGGCTGTATGAGCTCGTGGGGATGCCAACTGGTTTGGGGGAGAGCGACCAGTCCCTCATGGACCAGCTTGCTTATAGAGAGTGGGTAGCAAAGCCAGGAAGCTTTGACTGCGGGAGATGTTAACGGGGCTGGAAAGGGCCATGCCAGCCTGTATCTCCTTTGCACCCCCCATTTATCATGGACTGGGGAGTGTGGGGCGAGGGCATGAGCGTGCAGGTTGGGACAGGTAGGGAAGATGTATGCACGCACCTCTCGCCTTCGGTCGGTGCATGCAACGGTCTTAAAATGCCCCAAACCCACTGCCTGTGGTTATTTCGAGGTGCCCTCAGTGGCAACAGGGAGCAGAGGGTCTGGTGGCGCGTGAGGAGCTACGTTGCTCTGCAAACCATCACTACCCACCCCCAGGATGATGCAGCAGTGGTGTGTTAGCAGTGTTTCCACATCCCAGGGGAGAAACCCTGAGATTTGGGGCCTGGGGTTTAGAGGGAAAGAAAGAGCAGAGAGAGGGAGCAGTGTTGTCTTCTCCTTGTGCTGACATTTTTCAGCTTTCTGGAGGAGAAGGCCTTGCCTCCCGAGCAGGAACGTAACGAGGATTAAGGATCTTGAGAGAGAGAAAATTACCTCATCTGTACTTAATTATTTTTACATCACCTTTTTGGAGGCAAGCGCTGTTTTCCAGCACCCCAGGGAGCTCCCTCTCCCCGCTCCCTCCCTTGGCACATCATGGGGCAAGAGGGAGGATGAGAGCTTCCAGCGAGGTGGAGGAAGCATCTCGGGGCTTTTCACCTTGCCAGGAGCGGGGGTGGAAAGCGGGGAGGCTGCCGGGCTCGGCGGTGGCTTCGCTCTCCACTTGGAGCCTGGCTTTCCGCTCGGCTGCCTGCGTGCGGGAGAGGAGGGCTTCCCATCCCCGCGCCGGGCTTCTGGAGAGAGGAGCTGCCGGCGGAGGGGAGGGGGAGCAGATGGAGGGGCTGGAGGGGCAGCGGGTGGCTGCGGCGAGCCTCGGCCGCGGGGACCCCGACCGGCGCCTGTGCGAGGTGGGACAGGAGGGTTTAGGACGGTGGTTGGCAGGAGCGTGACCCACCATCCCCTAAAAGCACACCATATCCAGAGGGCAAAGCGTGTCTTCCCCGGGAGCTGTTTCTGCTCTTTATTATATATATATATATATATATATGTATATATATATATATATATATATATATATTGGCTCAGGAGCTTTAAGAGGCAAGGGAAGTAAATAAAATAACAACTTTAAGCTTGCCGATCCCAGGGACAGAGAAGCATGTCTAGGTGATAAGAAGAGATTGTGGCCGGGTGCTGTGAAGGGCGAAAGCACTTATTTCACTGTTGCCTCATGCGTTACCTGAGCCCCGCTGCTTTTCAAAAGCACTTAAATGCCCATATGATAGAGGGAATGCTTGGATTGCACACTGTCTGGCTCCATTATTATCCAGGGATCTCCAAGTTGATGCATTTCACAAAAAAACCTGGCGTGGAGGGAGGAGAGAGGAAATATATATTTTTAGTTCAGCCTGCTTAGAGGTCCTCAGGGATAATCTTCGCAGAAGGGACCGGTCTGAGAAATTCAAGCCACGTCTGGCTTCTCATCACCCAGTCCTTCTCTGCAACACGGCTTTGGCGGTGAGAGTGGACACCCCATGTTTGTGCAGAATTGCTGCTCGCTGCAACCGCGGGAGCCCATTTCACGGCACTGCAATGGGCAGGCCAGAGCCAAGCACCAGATATCTCCACCTGCATTTTATCCGAGCCCCCTAGGTCTAAGCTACCAGCAGAGTTGAAGTTCAGAGTACAATAGACTAAAAACATTCTCTGGGTTTGAACAAGTTTTGTTCAACTTGAGCAACCAAACTCTCGGGTTTTGCTCAAGTCATAATGCAGTGGAGAGCAAGAGTCGAGTTCTTGGTGTTCAGCCCAGCCTGAATCTATTGCTATTTTTTATGTAGATAATAAAAATCTGCTCGCACTTAATTTATTATTATCGTAATATCATTATGGAACAGCAGTAAAATTGTTTAATTTATCAGATGTTTTTCACACCAGAGAGGGAGGATGGTGCAGTAGCTTGGGTACTTGCCTAGGAAATCAGCGGGGGAGTCCTGGGCTGCAGACTACCCGTCTCACCTTGGGCACGTCGCCTCACGGGGATCCACCATCCCTAACCTCCAAATGTTGTGTGTGTTGAGGCTGAGTGGGTTCTTCAGGCTTCTCCTGTAATCACTGGGGCCAAAGAGATACCTCCGAAAAAGAGGCTAGGTGGGATGAGACAGCTTGTCCCCGGGTGGGTCCCTGTGTCTTCGCTGGCACCGGTAGCAGATAACGGGAAGAGAAGTCACCCACCGGTGAGGAGACAGCTCACCCTGAGGAAGGATATGATCCCTAGAGTGTCAGGATAAGTCCGCATGCCACAGATAGACATTCATCCTTGCCATTAACTCCCCTGCTACCATAGTCTGGCACATATAGCCCATTAAACCCTTTGCATTCGTTGAGGTTACCCTGTGTGAGACCTCCCGGAGGCCGCCGCGCTCTTTTTCGGTGCCTCCGAAGTTAATTTGCATCCCAGCCACTGCACAAGTAATGAAGTAGATTGGGGAGAATATAAACAGTGGATCTTAGGCTGAGTGGTTTTATGCAGGGACATTATCCTCCGTCGCCGGCATCCAGCAAAGCGTGGCTAAATCCCAGCAGCTCCGTAATCCCAAACTTGCTCGGAGAGAAGCGGGGTTTTAGTTCCTGGGGGGGGGGGGGGGTGGGCTGCAGGTTTCTGCTCCCTAGGGAAGGGCTTGGAGAGCAGGCAGCTGCCAGGCCCTCTGCTCTTCACTCGTCTGGAGATGATTTGTGGAAAGGGAGGATTCAAATCTTGCCTGGGGATGTGGGCGTGGAGGGGTTACAGGGCTGGAGGAGCAAGACTGGCCCCCGCTAATGTGGACAGGAAAACAATCTCCTTCAGAACAAAGTCTCTTCCAGGTTTGCACCGTGTTGTCTTTTGGGGGGGCTCAGTTTCTTAATGAGGCTGGATATAGAAGATTTCTACCTCTGAAACATCACTCGATAAGTAAAATGCTTAGTTGGGGTAAGGTGCAGCAAGTGAGGGAGATGCAGCAGTGCAGATGATGGGTAGGGAAGGAAGAACTGGCAGAGGGGACAAATGGTAGGAAGCTCAAGGTTTCTCTTTAGAGGTGTATCAGAACTGGCTTTTCTCCTGAGATAAATTTTCCTCGCTCCTTTGTGAAGCAGCACGAGCTGCTTTCCCAGCTCCGCTTTGCATTTCTTTGCCTGGCTGCAGGGATATGAAGGTCTGAGGAGAGAATGACAAGTGATGGGTTTGGGCAGGAGGTAGCAACCTGCATCCCCTCCGCAAAAAGTGTGGTTTGGACTCAGGACGGAGGTTTTGGCTCAGCTTTGGTTGTCTCTGAATTTGCAAAGGAGCAAAAGGGGAACAGAGGAGCCAAAGGCCCTTCGGTGGCTGGTGCTGGGTGGCTCTGACCTCTCTACACCTGAAATCGTTGGGAAGCTCCTGTGCAAATCCCTGAAGCCACCAGTTTAGATGGATAACAGTGCCCTGAGCACCACAGGTAAAGTGCTGACGTTGTCCTCTTTGGACACTGAAAGCACTTGGTCTCTGAAACTGCTGCTGGCTGCAAAGCTAAAAATAGTGCCAGGAGGGGCTGGGGAAGGGGGGGACAAACTACCCAAAAGCAGCGCGTTGATGTGTCACCTCTCTGCCTCTCCCCAGGTGCTCCGTGGACAACCGAGTCACCCGAGTGGCCTGGCTGAACCGCAGCAGCATCCTCTATGCCGGCAATGACAAGTGGTGTTTGGACCCTCGGGTGGTGCTCCTGGCCAACACCAAAACCCAGTACAGCATCCAGATCCAAGATGTGGACGTGTACGATGAGGGCCCCTACACCTGCTCCGTGCAGACAGACAATCACCCCAAGACATCGCGTGTCCATCTCATCGTGCAAGGTAAGAGGGGAGGGAATTCGCGGAAGGGTTGGGCTTGATGCCTTGATTTCTGTTCCTCCCTTTCACCCTGCTGTCTCGTCCTCCCTTTGCTCCTACGTTGGGCGTGGAGGACAGCTTGGTGCAAACGTAGAGGCTGATCAATGAGCTTGGAGAGTCCCGGTGAAGCTGGGCAATGCGTTTACGCAACTTTTTTTGAGTAGTCATGAGGCTGTGGTACAGGCAGCTCTGCCTCCCGCTGTAGTCACTGGCAAACCCATATTGCTGTTTGTTGTTGTATTTTGATGGGTGGGTTTTTTTTTTTTTGTTTTCCATGCTGGAGGCAACGCTTGAAGTAAAACTTGTGTTGGGGGAAAAGAGCGAGCTGGCAGATTTGTGTACTTTGTGGGGGTGTGTGTATGCCTAGCAACAATATGTGTTTGTGTGTTGAAACTGTACTTCTGGGAGGAGGAGGAGGAGGAGGGAGGAGGGAGGAGGAAGGCCGGCATGGGGTGCTGGAGCGCTGGCGTGGCTCGCCGAGGGCGCACACTCGGCGGGGTGGGGGCGTGCGCTCTTTGGCAAGCGTGCAAGCACACACGGGCTCTCGAGGGGGGGCGTGCAAGCGTGGCCACACGTGATGGTCAAGCCGACGGGCGTTCACGTGAGGTACCTCCCGGCAGGACGTGCGCTGGGCGGGCGGGGGCCGGCGTGGCGGGACGTGGGACCCGGTGCGCTCCTAGGGGAGGATTAATGGAAAATTTCTAATCCCTTGCTAGCAACCTTTTCTCCTCCTCCTTCTGTGTTTTGGCCAGGAGCCCTCTTAGCATGACACTCCAGCTTGAGTATTGGAATCTCATCTCGGGCTAATTTTCGAATGCTGATAGGTGTATTGATTTGGAAACAAGCTGGGTTAAAAAGGCATTGGTCTTGTACACAGAGTCGGGTTGAGCTAATCCGTCGTCAATATGCCAGGCCTGAGCGTTATTGACAGCCTAATGAATAGAAGGGGGGAAGAAAACCCAAACCCAGGGCCTTTATTTTCTCCTCTCCCTCCCTTTCCTTTTTCTCTTGCCTCTTCAAGCAATCAAGCAAACTAAACAGAGCCGGACTTTCTCCATCTCCATTAACCGTGGAGAGAAAGCGGATGCATTGCCAGCTCAGGTCCTTGCTGTTTATCTTGCAATCTGTTATTACCTGCCTGAGTTTCTTAAGCCAAAGTCGATCACCCGCAAGTTCTGAAGTCGCTATCAGGCGCCGGGGTGATGCAGGACAATTTCTGTCTGTTCTCTTCTGATTCCCATTTCCTGACCTAAATTTCCCATATCAGCAGACATCCAGGTCCATCCCTCCTGTGTCTTGCTATATCATTTGGAAGAGATGTTTGGCTGCTGGAGAAAAAGGTCATATCTTAACTCCTTGCAGCGGTGCAGTTAAGTACTGGGGGATTCGGTGATGGGCTTAGTGCTATAATGTGCTGAACATCCTCGCCGTGGCTGGCAGAAATACCAGCTCTCACGAGCGGGCCCCCTAATTTCAAGAGTTATTGCTTGGCTCACCCAGCTCTTTTTTGGGTGGAAGGTGGCAAGAGAGTAGTGTGCAGCATCGTGCTGGAGCGGGACATGAAAGCAAATATCGTGTCCGATTAAAGGGAAGCCTGCCTTAATGACCCCGAATAAAATTTGGCTGGGGTGCCAGGATTAACTCCTCCTGCCTTGGAAAATGGGCCCAATAATACGCAGGCTGGTATAATCCTGTCCTAAAAGCTTGTGGGAAGCAGTGCTTACCCCTCCCTCCCAGGAAAGCAGGGCATCCGAGTCCCATATTTCAGGGATGTGCCAAGTTTAGCGTGTGGCTGTGGGACCTCTTGCCCCTTCCCACAGCCTGACAGGGAGGGAGAAGTGGTGAGAGGAGGTGGGAAAGGGGGTCTCCTCTTTTAAATAGGGTTAATCCAGGTGCAGCCAGAATGAGGAAGGCGTGCAGGTTGCTCCAAGCAGGGTTCAAACACCCTCAGCTCATGCCGTGCATCCCTCCTTCTCCCTAAATTTGGGGGATGTCGCTGGGAGAAAGGGTCATGGACAGAGAGAGTGAGGAGCTGGAGCATCCCTGGTGTCTGCCAAGAAGGGCTGCTGGACGAAGCAGTGCTATGGGAGGAAGGAGCAAAAACCAGAAGAAGGATAGGGGTGGGAGATGGAGCTTCCTTTAGGGCATGAGGGTTGGGGATGGTCCCCCAAGAATCAGCTAGAAACCACCAGGAACCAGGGATGTCCACGCTGCAGCGAGGGAAGCGCTGCGCATTTATTTCTAGGTTGACTGTATTGATGGCTGAGATCCCAAAATAGGTGGGTAGAAGGCACCTCAAGAGCTAATTTAGCCTGTCCCCCTGCAATGAGGCAGAGACATTGCTGGCAAACACGTATGAAAGCTATTCTTGAAAATCTTTAACAAAGCAGGTTCTTCAGTCTCCCTAGACGATCTATTCTACTGCTTCGCTACCTTTATAATTAGAAAATGTATAGCTAATATCTAACTTAAACCTTCTTTGTTGCAAATGAAGTGGAGTTTTTCTCAGCCTATCCCCAGCGGACGTGGGGAACAATTGATCAGTGTCCTCTTTGTAACAACCTTTTGCTTTTGGGAAGGTTGTTATCGTGTTGCCCCTTAGCCACCTTCTTTCTGAAACGATGCAAGCCCCATTTCTCCCACCTTGCCTTGCCGGTCAGGCTTTCAGAAACACTTGTCAGTCTTGAAATCCTGCTACAAAAGGCAAAAGGTGATTGCTGCCGATCCAGGAATAGCAGGTCGGCGCATCTTTCCTTCCCGCTGCCTTTGCAGTAATGTGGGACAAATGAGCCCGGGAATGAGACAACAGACCCTTGGCATTGAATGCATCAAAGTTCAGCCCTGCTATTTCAGGGACTGCTTTAAATGAGGTCAGGCTCAGCGTTGGTAATGCCAAGTTGATGTGAGCCAACAACAAGAGGTACGAGGAGAACCTTAGCACTTGGATCTCCCCAGGAGAGAAGCTTCCAGACTACAGCTGGACCCAAAATGACCAGCTCGGGGAGTGTGCATGTCACCCACGGTATCTGGAGGGTGGTCCTTGCCTGTCCCCCTCGCTCAGTCCATGTTTATTCTTAGGAGGAGTTGCCATAAGACAAGACAAAGCACGGGGAAGCAGCACTCCCCGTGTCTGCAGGAGTTTGCTTCCGACCCTTGAGAAGGGAGAGGCATTTCTGGGTGAAAATCCCAAAGAGACAGAATCCAGGGAAGCCCCACTTCTGCAATAAGCAAACTCTGAACTTGAAGGGAGGCAGAAACCCAGAGCGAGAAATAGGACTTTGGGCCCCCTTAACCTCTGAGGAGTGATGCTTTCCCTTCCTCTCCTCTCCTGTATCCCACTTGGATTTCCTTTGCAAGTCCCACTTCTTGCCTCTGCAGCAGCATCTCCGGTGCAGCCTCCCCCTTCTCCCCACTCCCAGTAGGACACTTGAGCTGTTTAAGCTGTTCTTCCAGTTGCTGGGTTTGAAAGAGAGGAGAGAGGGAGGAGGAGGACGTCGGTGTCTGGAAAGCTCTTATTTGTATTGATAATAAGCCGTCTCCAATGCGCGCCTGCAAAACACTCCCACTGCCTTGTAAGATGCATTAAGGAAAGTTGGCCTTATCTCGGCGCGCGAAATGGACTTGGGGAAGGAGGCACCGTGCCTGCCAGAGTTTAATCTCACTTAGGCACATAAATTTGCATGATAGAAAATGGTGAAATTTTAGTGCTTAGAAAGAAAGAAAGGAGGGGGGGAAAAAAAAAGGGCAACTGGGGGATATTAGGCTTTCTCGCTTCTTTATCAGTTTCCCTGGCCCTATCTGGCTCTTTCTGTTGTCACTGGAGCAACTAATCACCCCTCCCCTTTTGTTTGGTGTAAATGAGTTTTCCCACTCCTTCCCCGGGCCCGGGGTTAATCAGCAAATCCCTGCCTTTGTTTGATAGTTAATTACCTGCTCACCGGAGTCAGGGGGGGGGTGGCACGGGGCTGCCCGGGTGGCATGGGGCACACGTGGCATGCTGGTGGCACCTCGCCCCGGGAGCATCGCTGCCAAGGTGTGCGCCGGTGAGATAAAGCCACCGGCGGGGCTGCGGCGCCCGAGCCGGCTTTGTTTCAAGCGCTGAACTCTGCCCAATTAATTTTCCTTTGATGCCGTAAGCCCCTCTCACTCCGGGGAGAGGACGGGTAACTTTTTTCGCGGCCGCGTGCCTGGGAAACGCCCGCCCTGCCGAAGCTGGGAGGAAGGATCGGTCCCTGCAGTCATCATCACTCTTGTCCAAAGGCCTCGAGGTGGCTTGTGGGGAAAACAAGGTAGACTGGGATGAGTTGCTTGTGGTGCCTGGCTCTTTTTTTTTTTTAATTTTTTTCCTCCTTTTTGGAAATGCTCAGAACATTCATGAGCTTTGGCACCGCTGGCGGAGCCGGGGGGTCCAGCTGGGCACCCGTGGGGCTGACCCTGTCCCCTGCGCTGCCAAAACCGCCGGTGCTGGGGATGAGGAGGGGCGGAGGGATGTGCCCGGGGCCGGGAGGTAACTCGGTGGCAGCGAAGGATGTATGATGGCCACGTATGAAGCCACGGGCTGGGGCTTCGCGCTGGGCAGGGTGCTTCCCAGCGGAAACCGCAGGAGCTGCTTCTGGCAGTGGGTTTTTCTGGTGTGTCCACACCTTCTCTCCCATGAGAGCACCTGTCCTTTCTAGAAGCAAAAGCAGGTTTATATAATACCTTCTAAAAGCCACGTGGAGAGCTGGGAGAGGCCTCCCCAAAGCGGTCAAAGGGAGGAAACCAGCGGCACGAAATCGAAATCCTCCCTTGCTTCGCCTGCGCTCAGCTCCTTTGACTGATGCACTCCTTCCCCGTCTCTCTTTTGTTGCTAAATCACCGTCCGTCCGCCAGAACATCTCTTCCTTTTGTACGGGGGCTGTGGTGGAGGACTGAAGGTCTCCCACGCGCTCTCCAGCACTGTCCTAGTTGTTGGCTTTGTGCCC